GATATGTGAGAAGAAGACAGACATTTTGAATCCAGAGTTCAAGAGAAAAGCCTTACGTGGAACTGGGTGACTTATCTACCTGGGTGTAGGTTATAGCTAATGCCAGGGAAATTAATCTGGTATCCAAAGGATGGCATGGGGGATGTGGTAGGATGTGAAGGAATGTGTCAAGGAGAATAGTTAACAGTGCCAAATAAAAGAGAAAGGTCAAGTTAGGTGAGGCCTGGAATGTGACGACCAGTACATTTGGCAATTAGAAGGCAGAATGGAAGATTCTCTCACCTTCATTTGGCCCCTGGGTCACTGTGTCATTTTGTTCAACTAGTCTCTCTTCTCTGCCTGGACCAATGTTGAGTGAAAATGGCATGCTCCACTTTCTGGAACTGTCTTCTACCCCAACTACCCAATGTTTATAATGTAACCAATTCTACTAGGCACTGCTTTCTGGACCACAGGTAGACTCCTGACTCATTCTGAGTTGATCAGAATCTCTCTTCGTTTCCTGAGAATATAGTTAGACTATGTTAAGCAATAGAGCAACAGAGCTCTGTAAAGTTGAGGTCAATCTCAAGTCACCTATGATATAATTTTATGTGGGAACCTGGGTTATGTAAGCATTTGAGTTTGCCTTAATTCAATACTCTTCACTTGCTTTAAATTTAGCTGTTAAATTTAGTTGATCCCACCCCCCAAGTCAAGTTCTCCAAAATGATGTCATACTCTCCTCCAGAAAGAGCCCCATCCAAGTGAACTATGTCTGCAGCCCTTGAGACGTTCTATCCTTCCTCCTGCCCTCCTCCCTACATCCCCACTTCCCCAAGGGTCATACCAGTCATGGGAAAAGACACTCTGAACTAGTGCAAGCAGCTCTTGCTGCATCCCGCTGCTGGACTGTGGGAAACTTCAGCCAGTGTTGGTTCTCTGCTGGCTGGGAAACACCCACAAAGTCTAGCTTGCCCATGTCCTCCAAACTCTGCCTGTTCTACCACGCTCACATCAGACCTACGAGGCTCAAGCTCACACTCTATCCATGGCTGCTACCCACAGCAGTGCGGGAAGCAGAGAAGTTCAAGGTCAGGATGTCATAACTTCCAGCTTTAAGAGGGCATCTGGTCTGGCAGTGTTTTTTGTGTTTTTTGGTTTTTTTTTTTTAGGAAAACCCATCATGGGAAAATTAACCCACGCTCATTCCAACTCCTTTTGGGGAGAAGAAAGAAAAGAAAAGAAAGAAAAGAAAAAAAGAAAGAAAGAAAAAAAGAAAAGAAAAGAAAGAAAAGAAAAAAGAAAGAAAAGAAAGAAAGGAAAGAAAGAAAGAAAAAGAAAAAAAGTAAAGAAAGAAAGAAAAGAAAGAAAAAAAGAAAAGAAAGAAAGAAAAAGAAAAAAGAAGAGGAAAAATCCATCCAATCCCCACTAGCCTGTTCCCAGGGCCCGACACCCTGGAAGGCCAGCCTGGCTGGGCCCCCGTGTGCCGGTGGACAGCAATGGTACCCACTGCCTCTGTTCTAATATTTAAAAAACAGGCTCCAATTTGAGTCCCAACATTGTATCACAAGGGATCTTTAGAGTGGCCCTCCAGGAGCCAGCTGAATTGAAACAAATGGAAAAGAAAACAAAATGGAGTTTTCCAGAACTGTGGGGGACCAGATAGGTGCTGTCATAGACGCTGGGCTCCCCAGGTCTTATCCATGAGTGGATGGATGAAAGGTGCAGATGTGTACCCCCAGAACGCCCCAGGTGCTGACAGCTATAAAAGATTCCTCTTCACTTAGGATAAGCAAGGCTTTACTCAGAAGGACTGCCCAGCAAATCCTCATCTGGAGGCAAACAGGGAAGCCTCCTGGATAGGTCCTTACCACCTCATACCACTAATTAATGGACTGTGAGCATTCAATGCCATCAGTCTCTTAAAATCTTGGGCAGGAAAGGACAGAGAGAGAGAGAATAAGACATGGATGCATAAAACAGGAGAATGGAGGACAACATTGGATGCAAGGCAGAAAAGCAAGAGAGCGAGAGAATTATGTTTAAAACTCCAAGAAGTAAATTTAGCCAGAGGCTTAAAAATTTTTTTCCTGCTTTATAGTGAATTCTGTAACAAAGTTTAGAGAATGATGCTACCTTTTAATAAATGATATCTGTATAAGTAAGCATTACCTAAAATCTGCAGGGCATAACAGCCTTATTTTCATACTTTTAGGACTCAGTTTCCTCATCTTAAAATAAGAGATCCTAGAACTGAAGGTGTCTAAATCTTCCAGCTCTGAGACATTCCATGGGGAAAGGGGCAGGCATGGTCCCAGGGAGAGCTGAATTTCTCACACCACTTCAAAGCATTGAAACCTAAGCATACTTGGTAGTTACTAATTGAATTGAATTCAGAAGTGTTCTTGCTAAAAAAAAAAAAAAAAAAAAGAGGGCGGAAAAGGAACTCTTCTTTCTCAGAGAAAACCAAACGCATGATTTTACTCTGGGTGTTTAAGAGGGTTAGGCACTATGCATTTAAGACATTTCCATAGATCCTCACAGCTAGTTCGCAGGACTGGGACAGAACTCGGGGGTTAAGAACAAACTCAGGAGTTGGACTGCCTGGATTTGCATATTCACTCTCTTGATTAAGCAACTGAGGCAAGTTATTTCTCTGTGCCTTGGTTTCTCATATGTAAGACAAGAATAGCAGTAATTCCAACTTTAAAAGATTCATACGGGACTAAGTGAGTTGATAGCAGTAACATACTTAGAACAGTACCTGGCACTTTGTATTTATTTAAAAAATATATAAACTTAAAGACTAGGTGTCATTACTATGCCTATCTTAAAAGGGAAAAAAAAAACCTAAGACTTACGAAGGTTAAATAACTGGTTCCAAAGTCACCCAGTGAGTAAGCTGAGGAGAGGGATTCAAACCAGACCAAGACTCCAGACCTTGTGGGCTTTCCTGCCATCACACACAGTCTCCCAATCCAGAGTTACTCATTGAAGGCCGGGGGATACTGGAATTATAACTCAGGGGATGCACCGCTTTTTTATCGCTTGACCAGGAATTCCCAACTGTTTCCTGTTGACTTTTTTTTTTCAAGTGAAAGTTAAAAATGTAAAGTCCTTTAGCATCATTCATTTATATCACTTCAAAGTTTGGTGCTCACTATTTCTTCTATCCACACTTGCTCCATATCATAAAACAACAGCAAAGATACAGATTAAGCCCATCCCTTTTCAAAACAAAACCAAACCAAAAACCAAAAAAACAAAAACAGACTTCTCATCATAGCACCTTGGATTAAAACACTGAATTTTTATTGTGCCCAGGCACTGTGCTAAGCATCAACATTGCTTCATTTGATCCTCATGATAATCCTCTAATTTCCATTTTCTAGACAAATAAACAAAACCTCAGAATGCTTAAGTAACACCCTCAAGCTCCCATAGCTGGCAAAGGGCAGAAGGAAATTTTCCACCATTTCTGCTTGACTCTCAACTGCTCTCCTGCACTCTTCCAGTAGAATGCAAGAACCAGGCCAACTATGAGATCACTTCACATTCCTCACAGACTGAAACTCCTAAGACAGGGCTGGGGGGGTGGGGGGGCTTTATAAAAATACATTAGCCTACTACGAACACCTAACATGTTAGTTGTCCCCAAAGAGATTAAAGGATGCGGCGAATAAAGACAGAACCACCAAGATTTAAATGATAAGCCGCATCAGGTGCACAACTGAAGAATAACAATAATAACATATAACATTTCTATTTTACAACGTTGTCAACTGTTTCCGACCTTCAGAAACCTTAGTGGGTGCTAATCTTGTCTCCTTGTCTCAGCAGACTTGGAGTCAATTGCATGAACACTCTGACTCCCATCAGAAAACGGGAAGCACTGCCCTGAGGACTGAACGAGTTTGTGCAAGAAGGGCCTGGCAGAGGGCCCAGTGCAGGTACTCAACCAACCCAGGATGCTTCTCCTTGTGGCTGCCCATGCCTGGCATGGAGAGAGCTCATGGCTCATGGGAACCTTAAAAAACATCTACCAAAGGAGCTGAGTGAGAGGAATGTGCTGTGATCCCAGTCGTCTAATGGGATTCACACCTTTTCTACAACTGCCCATTTTCTGAACTCAGCTCTGAAATGAGCTATTATTCTGTTTCACTCTTCTTATTATCCAAAATAATTCAATGTCCACCTTTTCCTTTGGGAAAAATCAAAGGTTGACTTGGCTACCTTTTGAACTCAAGCTGTTAAAGATCCCTTTCTTCTGTTCAAAAAGTTCTACTGATTTTGAAAGGTCTTATTGATAAAACACAAGAGAAACTCAGGGGAAAAGGACAAAGAGAAAGAAGAAGAAAGACAAAGTATAAAGAGGCCAGAAAAGAAAGAAAGGAAGAGAGCCCAAGAGGAGCAGAGAGAAGCAAAAGACTATTGAATGCATAATAGCCAACAGTCTTAGCAACCGGCTCATGTAACAGTCATGGAGCCTTATTTTTAAAAACCAAGGGGAAAATATTTACATAAAATCCAAAGGATATATGCTCTCTGTTAAATGCTGCAAAATGACAATGTATTCAATTCACTAATTCATGAATTAGTCTGTGTGATGTTTACTTCTGGCATCATTAGCATTTCTGAGCTGAATATTTAAGAGAACAAGGGAGAAATTTAAGGACTAAAGATAGAAGTGAAAAATTAATTTTTTTTCGGTTTTGTTTTTGTCTCTCCATTTGCGTGTTTTGGCTTATATTCGTACAGCATTAGTGAGACTCAGGGGCCAGGCTGAATGAAATGGGTGGCCGGAAACCTTCCAAGCCCCCCTTGAAGGCCTCTGCCTCCCAGGTACGTATAAAAGTCACAGGAATTTAGAACAATTTTTTAATTGTCCTTATAAATGATAGTTTCAAAAGCAGATATGTCACAATAAACACATATTAAGAGTAAATTAGGCCTTAATGATGTTTATCAAGTTTTATGTCCTAATTAAAAGCAGAATCACAACAATAAACATGACTTACCAGCAGAATTAACTCTGCCACAATTGTCTACTCTTCCCAAACATTCTTTGTGTGCTCTCGCGCCACACTTAAAACATAAATAGCCTTGATAAAATGTTCCTCTGAAAGGTAAAATTAGAGAGTGATATGTTAAAAGCTGCTAAATGCTGCCTCTATGAAATCATGAGCACGAGAAAAAAAACAAGGGAACACAGTGCTCTGCAAAGTCTTCTCAGCAGAAGGAGAGGGCCTCCTGGGGTTCGGAAGGAAGCGTCCAGGTACAAGGCTGAGGAAAGATCTGTTGGCTCAAAACTGTTAAGGCAATTTCCCTACTTCACAACATTTTGGCTGGGACATTAAAAAAGTCTGAAACACACAGCAATTATAGCAGCTCCTTTAAACTGAAAAACAGGACCAAGCAAGCTTACCTCAGAAGCATCTGGCAGACTTTGCAGGATGTAACCCGATTGAAGGTGTGCATCTTGAACTCATGGAAATTGGAGTCTGCGTAGTCTGGCCTTATGTTTGATCTATAAAAAGGAAAAAACAAAAAAAAGTAACTTCCTAAAGAAAGTTTCACAACAAAATAGCAGTCATCTAAAACCTAAATTCATCAACATTACACTGGGTAGAGATCTGATTCAAGAAAAAGGCTATTAAATATGCAATGTTTTCTAAGCCAAAAGTAGGCTTTGCATTAAAATATGCACCAAAATCTGGTTGTGTGCAAAGCAGCAACATGTAAGGATTTAAGCAAACTAATCCTCCTCAGAATTGAGGGTTCCCAGAGAACTCTACAGAATGGCCACATAGGTCACCCCGCCAGGAAAAACACAAAAATCTGCTGGATATTCATGCTGTGTGATTGTTTCTCTAGCCACATCACTGAAATACAAACTAGATGGGGAGGGCAGGAGCGGGGGGGAAGAGGGTGCTTCATTCCCTCAGAGGCCATCTCTAAATACGTATGTGGATGATGTAATGATCTGTAAAAGTGAATAGTTTTATAAAAAGTTTTGAAATAAAACATCAGTCTGATCATCAAAAACTTACTCAACAATTTGCTTTCCTTGTAATCCAAATTAAAAAAAATCAACAAAACTGTTATGTTTTATATTTTATTCTTATTACCTGCATACGCAAAACAATGCATGAAGCATACCACAAACTACCATAACTGATGTCAGACAAAAAAAAAAAAAAAAAACACAACCAAAGTAACTTTGTGCCAAGGCTGTGACAACCACACAATGTCCGTTACTCTGTTTAACCTTCACACCAATCCCAACGACTCAGCACTCATCATATCAGTAATTTACAAACAAGGAAACTGAGGCTAATACTAAAGTAAGGGAAATGGCAGAGTCGGGCACTCCAATCCAGGTCTGTTCTCTTTGCCCCTGAAGCTTGGGTGCAAAGAGGAATTCAACGATATTCACCTTAATATAATTAGATTGTTGGAAACAGTCAATTTAGCCATTTCCAGAGGAGTTTTTTTTACAGTATTTGTAATTTATCTACATCACAGAAGAAAGCAGAAAAATTAGAAAAGGACTAAAAAAACAGATACAAATCGGAGGTATACCAGGAGAGCGAAGATGATGCTCTCCGACATGTTACAAGCAATTTCAGAGTGTGTAGGAAAAGTCTGAGATACTGATGAGCTAGGAGTTCCCCTTTTATAGAATACAGCAACTCTCAACCACACAGAGCCTTGGTGTAATGAAGCATAACGCAGGCGGGTGACCAGGCATCAATCTGAGGTACCAGGAGAAGCCTTATGAAAAAACATTCACAAAGGCAATTGGAGTAGCAGGCAGTGATGCAGAAGTGTCAGCGAGGTCAGCCTTCCAATCCATCTGCTGAATATGAGCACGCTAAAAATGAAATCAAATATTGGTGCCATCTGGGATTTCTCTGCTCCATGCTTCGGGTGACCTCACTTTTTAGGAAAATGTTCTGCTGCATGCCGAAAAGCATGGCCATTTCCATAGTGGTATTTTTGTGTTCCTGATTAAAAATTATAGCTCTTTGTGAATAGAGAAGTAGAGAAAAGGTAAGGATCTAAAAGCAAAACTCTCTTCACAAGAATCTTGAGTCCATAAAGCCATGCCTTGGAAAGAGCATCAAATCCCATTTCCTTAGCTGGGGAGGCCTGTTGTTCATTTTTCTCTAAACATCAAGGTGATAGAGTCACACATGGATTGTCAAATAACAGCTTAAGTCCTGGGAACTTGAAGAATTTATCAGCCTGGAGTTGTAGACTAAAAGTAGTTCTCCTTCAGAAATGTAAATGGGTCCCAAAGAAGAATTTAATTAATTTTAGAAGCTTGGCTGGGACGGAGGTGTAATATCTTTCTCTAAGGGTCAACTTAAGTGATAGACACACAGATAACCAGTCTTTCGACCATCAGTCACTTTCACCAACTAGGAATGAGCTGACTTTTTAGAAGACAAAAAGCTGAGAGGAGAATCACACTAAGGAGGTTTAAAAAAAAAAAAGACAAAAAAGAAAAAAAATTCTGAAAATATTGTTAATGGTAGTTGCCATAAGTGAAATGAGCCTCAAAATGGTAGAGTAGAATGGTAGGGAAGAAATGTTGGAATTAAAAAAAAAACAAAAAAAAAACTGTAACTGCATATTATTTTTTAAATTTAAAATTAAACACTAAAGAATAAAAGTTAACTCTATGACCCAGGAACTCCTACTGGGACACTATAGAACACAAAAGTATAGTTGAGGGCAGGAATCTGAAATTAGACCACCTGGGCTTAAATCCTAACTTGGAAGTCACTAACAGCGTGACCCTGGGCCAGTTAGTAAGTATAAGGCAGGAATACTCATAAAATCAAATTCATAAAGTGAGGTAATGTATGTAAAGTGCTTAGGACTTTGCCTAGCCCAGAGTTAGTGTTCAATAAACACTGGCTACCATTTACAAATTGTTGATTCCAAATCCACAAAATAATGATGTGATCAGAACAGTGCTTTATAAGTTGTAAGAATCCCTTGGTAGTTTGGGAACTAGTTCCCAGAGGATTCCCATTCTCCTGAGAATTTCATGCAGGAAGCCTGTTATATGCTCAGTGTCCTTTGGACCAGGAATCCATAGATAATGATTTAAGCATAAGAAACAGGGTTGCACAGGAGAATACATGTATGCAAAAGTCCAGGGAATTAGATGAAATCATATCAAGTGCCAAATGAAGAGAGGTGTCAACACACATGGACTACAGCCTTTGGGGAGGCAAAAACCGAAGACAGTAAGTTGCCTGGATGGGAAGAGTTGGAAAGGTAGATTGGAATAGAAAAATATGGAGAAATATCAGAGTTATAGGCAAGTAACACAAGGACAAAAATGACTAAAAGTGGCATTTATTGCACACTTGTAACGCACCAGGCATATTAATAGGCTCTTCATATATTTTTTCACATTTACTTCTCACAACAAACCTAGAACATTCATTTCATATTAAGTACCTACCATATACACAGACTCTAAGGCCTAAACAGAAAGAAGGATCCCTCAGCCAGAGCCCATGAGTAAAAAGGGAGATGAAAGATAGGAGGTAGGAGAGGTTGGTAGGAGCCAAGGAAAGAGGTGAGATCTTACACAAGGATTAATATCACATTTAGTTGACCAAAAAAAAAAAAAAAAAAAAAATCTCTGTGGCCACTAGAGAAAGCATTCCTTGTAGTGAAGCAAGAGTAAACACAGCAAGACCATATGGGACTGGGTTATCTATAGATGAGAACTGAGGGTCAAATATAGATTAGCTCACTTGCTCAGTCACGCAGCTCTATAGACACAGAGGATTCCATTTAAGGAATCTGTTTTGATATATGACAGTTTACTTGTGAGAACTTGAATGGAATCTTGTAGCTTTCTCAGGAAAATGTTCCCATTTCTTGTGCTTCATATAGGGCCCATTAGTAATACAATTAATCAATCAAATACTTATAAGGCAAAGTATGCTAATGCTCTTACATCTCCTTTTAACTTTACACATTCTCCTTAGATTCTTGCCTCTTCTCACCTGGTTTCATGTTTGCACTATGCTGAGGACCATGTGTCTCCCCTTAGCCTTGGCCCCTTCTCCATTCTCTGGATCTGCATGCCCAGGGGCTCCACAGGCGTCTCAAATGCAGCACATACAAAACTCAGCTCCACACCTTTCCTAACAGACTATGACCAAATTCTGATTTCTATCCATCAACATTCACTCTATCTTCTAGCCTGGAGACTTGAGAGGTGCAATGAATTTTTCCCTCTCCCTCATACCTTCTACATATTCATTTTCCCTTAATCCATTCTCTGTTCCAATTTCTCCTTTCCTGAAACCATAACAAATTTCTGTTGATTCAACCTTAAAAATACCTCTTCAAAAATTCAGGTTCCATTCTCTTTCCTTACTAGCTAATTCAATCCCTCAGTATCTCTCAACCAAATTGTTACAATGGCCTTCTTAATCATTCTGTCTTCTACTTTCTTTCCCTACTTAAGGCCATCTTCCATACTATTCCCAGAATTACCTTCAAAAAATAAAAATAGGTCATTCCCTCCCTTGAAGAATTCTGCTGGTTCCTACTGCCTAAAGCTAAAGCTTCTGGTAAGGGCATACAAAGTGTTTTAAGTTGTAGCATGCCCCTTGCATGCCTCTTTCCCAAACGCTCATAAGCCATAACTAGAGGTACACAGACCCTGTCACATTTCCTAAACATATTCTTCTCGTTCATAACTCTGTACTTTTGTAGTCCAATCCCTCTGCCTAAAATGTTTCCCTTGGCCTGTAGCTGCTAACTTGCCTGGTTACTCATTTTGGGCCAGATAAAAATGTGACTCCTTGGATAAAATCTTCTGTGAGTCCACATGATAAAGATAATGATTATCATTTCATCTGGGTTCCCAAAGTACTTTTCCAGTCCTCTAGTGTAGTACTACACATTGTAGTATAACCACTTATTATCTGCTTCCCACTACCAGAAAACTAGATCTGTGCTATTCATGTTTATATTGTCAGGGCTTATTACGTCAGTGTCTCACATTTAATATATATCATTGTTGAATAAATAAACAAAGGCCACTAGCTATATTTTAAGTATCCGCTACTTACAGGGAAAAGAGCTAAAGGAAAAAAGAAAAAGAACAGTTACTACCCCTAGAAAATCATCCACTGAGTTAAAGAAACAAAAGCTCATACCCATGCAACACTCATAAAATCAAAGATAAAAGAAATAAAAAGATCAATCAGTGGTTACATGGGAGCAAGTGAGAACAAGTAATGCTTGGTAGATGAAGGAAAAAGGGAAAGTTATGCAAGTTTGGGGGGAAGATGAGATTGAAAGTTCTGAAATGAGTACCAGGTATTCACAGAATGGTGGATAGGGCATATTTACTACAGCATCATCTGTGCCACCCATCATGGTTAACTTTATGTGTCAGCCCAGATTTTTGGTCAAACATTTTTCCAGGTGTTTCCATGAGGGTGTTTTTGGATGAGATTAACATTTAAAGTGGGAGACTATTAT